AACAAACTGAAGGGAACATATTCTGATTTTTGTCATATACCAGTTAGTAATCCCTGACTACGTGTGTGTTTTCTTGGGCAGCACTTCCACAACAGAAGTTTTTGACTGTGCAAAGCCCTTGTTAATTTGCATAATGCACCATCTTTGTTTTTTTTCTATAGAGAGACAACTACAACCACAGCAAACAAAAGGCTCTCCCAGATGTCCACAGAATTCAGGAACATCTCAGTGGCTTCAATATAAGGAGCACTGCTATGCATTTGACATGGCATTTTACAATTTTTCAGTATATACTGCAGAAGATGCTAAAAAAGTTTGCCAAAAATTGGGTATGTTTGGATATTTTATAAGGTGCTACATTTTATAAACAGCCCCTTGTTCAAGGATAGTTGGCAATATTTCAGATTTATATTTCTTTAGGAATATTTGTAATGGCAGATTTTATTTGGTCTTTTTTGATCCTTTGATCTGATTAGAATCCTTCGCTGTCTTCAGAAATTTTGAGAGCTGCAAATTTCCACTTTTTATTATAGGAATATATTTTATTTAAGGTTAGACAGTAGGGTGGTCTAAAATGAAGGGATAGATGGCCCTACTTCCAAGTGTGACTTGTTACCAATAGCCACCTGGCCCTAGTGTGAGTTAGAGCAAGAGGGACTCTTCTCCATGTTCTGTTTCTGGGCTAAAATTCTTTTTGCCTGTGAAAGATTAGATGTTTTGAAGCTTAGTTTTGTCACATCTGCCGCTGTTTACACCTTATCTGCTATGACATTCTGTATCAATATTGATGTGGTTCTACAAGATGCCGAGCTTCTGCTTAGGATGGTGGAAATAGTGTCATGCAGTAGGTATCTGTAACCTGGCAAAATGGATCCTTCAGTTTCCATAAAATATAATACAATACCTCCCACACAAACAATCCGCAGGAGTCTTGTGTTTGTTTTATTCTTCACTTACCTAGATGACAAAAAAGAAGTTAACTAACATCAGAGGCTACTCATAACATTGCATTATATCTTCTCTCCTAAATTTTCAGGAAGCTAAAATAAATGTGTTTTCTTATTCCTACACCTGAAATCAGTTTTATCCAACTTGTGTTACCAGGGCTGCCATGGGCACTCCCTGCTGCACTGCACGGGCCTCCCTGTTATGCTGCTCCATACGTACAGGGCTCTTGGGCCACAGGCTTCCATGCTACACCACCCACAGGGGCAAGAAGTGATAGCTGGAGGAGGGAAGAAGAGCCTAGAGACCTCAGTGGCAGCAGCAGGAGAGCAATGTGGGGAGTGGTGCCTGGACTGGGAGCCATGAGTTAAGCTGGTAGTTGGACAGCCTGTCTTTAAATTAGCCCTTTGGATGTGTATAAAATTCACTGAAGTGTAAGAAGACAATAAGGAAAGACTTAAATGTTCCTTCTGTTTGACAAGTAAAACTTTTTCTCCTTAGATCCATCTGCAGCACTTCTCACTATAAAGGATGCTGATGAAAATAAATTTGTCAGCACACAGATAAGGGAAAATGACCTTATCACTAAAAGTGTGTGGCTTGGATTGTCTCAGAACTCCAAGGGTAAGAAGCTATTACCAAACGTGTGTGTGCATGTGTGTTTGTGCATGTGTGCGTGTCTGAGCATAAGAGTCTGTTCACTGTAAATAAGATGAATGTTATTATAATATCATAACACTTGGAAGGGCAAAGTCCAAGTGCTAATCGCATTGTGTTAATTAACATACAGCAAGTCCTACATTTGGTCAATTTCTTTTATGATTTCTTTATCCGTTTAATCTTTGAGACTTTGGCCTGAAAACTGGATCACCAAGGAAAGGACAAGAGCATGGAAAGGCTTGCATAAGCGTTAGCTGGCTGACTTAATCCAGAAAACATTGAGATAACAGTGATGGGTAGTAGGGCTGTGCGAAGCTTCAGTCCCTGATTCAGTTTGGCGGAGATTCGGCCCAATTCAGTGACCAAATCTCCAAATCGAATCAGGAGACCCTTTAATTTCTCTGAATTGAATTGGAACCTTCCGAATCGATTTGGAGAGATTCGACAATGCGGACATAGACACAGCTTCAGATGTTTTTTCTACATAGCTCAAGGTACCAGGCGGCTTGTGAATGCTGGAATGGTGGGGAAGATGGAGCGTCCCACTCAGCAGCAGACCTGGAAGTGGACCAGAAGCACTGCCAGAGAACGCACTGGGGGTCCCCCATACCTCAGCTCCGTGACTGGTGCCTCCTGGGTCTGGGGGGGCACCTGGGGTCCCCCCATGGGCAATTGCCAAGTCAGGGAGGTGCAGGGGGGCCCCCCACACTCCTATGAGACGCTTCATCCATCCCAGCATTGCAGCATTCACGAGCCATGCGTGGTACCTCGAGGTATGTAGAAAAAAATTTAAAGCTGTCTCTCCGGAGAATCAGCGATTCGGCCGTATCAGCATTAAATCTTTGGATTCAGCCGAATCTAATAGGGGACAGTGATCTGAATCAACAAATCGAATCACTGACCCCAATTCGGGCAGAATCCGAATCAAATATGGCCCATTTTGCACACCCTTAAGGGTAGAAGAATTGGTAAAACTTATACGAACACACAACTGCCATTTGAAAAATAGGGTGAAACTTGGAGGTTGTATTGGATCTGGAGCTGCTTCTGAATGTCTTATTTGTTTTTTTTTTCCTTCAGTCTGTGCCTGGCAAGAGGGGTGCTATCCTTCCTTCTGAGTGCTTATATTGCTCCAGTTAGTTTTTCTTCTTAATTTGTGGGTTTTTTTACGTGGAGCTGCACATTGAGAGGTGGGACATGATGGCAGAGTGGGTCCAAGGTGCCTAGCTATAGCTTGAGAAGCATGAATTCAAGCCCTGCTCTGAACTTACTAAAGGCTTTCCCAGTTCAACCAGCTGTAAAAGGCACCTGCTCATTTGCCACAAAGAATCAAGCCTGACTGGATACATTCCTCCTTTGTTGGCTGCAAAAATTGGTGTGCCTTTTATCTTACTAAGGGAGATGGAGGTTGCAGAACAGCACTGATGGTCCACTCTATTTCCCTGCCCTGTGGAGGGAGGGAGGGAGGTAGCTGGACAGCAGATCTGCAAGTCACTGTAACCCCTTATGACATGCCTTGGCTGGAGAATACATCGCTGCATACAACCACAGCGATTTTGCAACACTTCAGCCAGGAGCTTTGTGTGTGTTCGATAGCTGACATGCTACATTTCTGAAACACTTCCAAGCCTGTTATGCTGTAAAACATTCCAGAAGCTGTCTGTCTGCTCCCTAAGGCTGCTGAGGATGGTGTGTGAGGGCAGATATGTTTATAGGCATAATAAATACAAATATGATCTATAAGTATCATTTTTAAAAATTATATTTTTTAAACTTTTTATGATATGTACTTTTTTGCATTTTTTTAAAAAGTGAAGACCTAAATGAATCATAGTTTTTACATTATCTATTAATATAGAAACTTCTAATGGTAATCTAACAAAGCAATCTAATAGGCAATACTTTCTCTACAGATCAGTCATTGACGTGGCTTGATGGCTCAGTACTTAATTATGCCAACTGGAGAAATGGAACTTCAGAAGTTAGTGGTAAATGCAGTGTCATCGTATCCACAAATGGAGCATGGTCTGAAGTTGACTGCAATAATAGTCAAAGCAGAGTTGTATGTAAAGCTCCTCTAGGTATGTCAGTCTTGGTTTTAGTAGACTGCTCATAATTCTTCTAATTATTATATTTAAGGACTTTCCCACAAGTCCTGTGTAAAAAGTGTTGAGATTTAAATTTACTTCAAAGCATGCTGAAGTTCTGTTTTAAGTGGGTCTCAGCTGTTGCATAGGCCTTCTATGGGCTTTCTGCCTAGAGAATAAATTAATATACAACAGTTTAGTTGTAAGAAACAGGGAGACATCCTCTGAGAGATTTCCTGCATATTCCTACCTACTGGAGTTGCAGGAGGGGTGGGGGCAGGGGGGCTGAGCCACAGCTGCTTTTCCACCAGTAAGAAGAGAGCATGAAGTACTCTTGGAGTACTGCGTCCAGTTCTGGGCGCCGCACTTCAAGAGGGATGTGGACAACATGGAGAGGGTCCAGAGGAGGGCCACTCACATGATCAGGGGACAGCAGGGCAGGCCCTATGAGGAGAGACTACGGGACCTGAACCTGTTCAGCCTCCACAAGAGAAGGCTGAGGGGGGATCTTGTGGCCTGTTACAGACTGGTCAGGGGGGATCAGAAGGCATTGGGGGAGTCACTGTTCCCCCGAGCACAGCCAGGAGTTACCAGGAACAACGGTCACAAGCTAGCAGAGGGTAGATTTAGGTTAGACATCAGAAGGCGCTATTTCACGGTCAGGGCGGCTAGGGTCTGGAACCAACTTCCAAGGGAGGTGGTGCAGGCTCCTACCCTGGGGGTTTTTAAGAAGAGGTTAGATGAACACCTTGCTGGGGTCGTTTGACCCCAGTACTCTTTCCTGCCATGGCAGGGGGTCGGACTAGATGATCTTCTCAGGTCCCTTCCGACCCTAGAAACTATGAATAGTTACCTCAATTGTTCCTTCTCACTCCCTGCCCCTCTCAGAGTCATCCCATGAGCTCCTCTTTTTTTTTCCTTTTGCAGAGAGAAATCAAAGGTTTCTGGGTCTGCTGTGCTTGCAGATCTTACAGCAATGGGATCTCTATCCCTATTGGGGTAGAAAGTTGATTAGCAACTCCTTCCCTGATGGGAATCCTTGGGCAGGTCCACATATCCCCCTCGCCAACCCTCCAAGAGAAGCAAATAGGAAGAGAAAAGCTGCCCTCTGGGAGAAGATCATGTGTTGTAGAGTAGGGGCGTGCAAAGCTTTGGTCACCAATTTGATTCAGAGAGGATTCAGCCTGATTCAGAGGCTGAATTACCAAATCTGAATTGAATCGGGAGACAAAAAAAAATCCTCCCAATCAATTAAGCAAAGATTCAGCTATTTGGAAGGCAGTCTTGCAGGGGAACAGAAACTGAGACGTTGGGATGGGACTGACATCTGTAGCTGGCCAGTGACTGTGATCTTTCTGAGTGCCCTTCCAATCACAGTACTCTGGGAGACAGACAGAAACAGCATATAAGCCTGTGTCTGCAGCCTTTTTGTCCCTTTTGTGAGCTATTTCTGCCTAAGCAAGAGGGGTGGATGGCTGGACCAGAAACAGGTGAGCGGGCGGAGATCTAACCGGCACCAGGAAGGCCTCCTGTTACAGGCTATCATCCCTGATGTTTTCATTCTGCTGTACATTAACACACACACAAAGTCACATGTCACAAGTTTTGCTTTCAGAAGCTTGAGGTGAAGTTTCCCTGAAATCCCTGAACACATCTCCTTGAAACTTGGCAGGTCTCATGCCCTCAGAAGGGGCTACCATCCCTGCTGTTTTCATCCAAATCTGCCAAAAAATGATAAAGTTATGGGTATTTCAGTGATTCCCCATTATAGTCTATGGCCGAATCACCGAATTGGTGCCAAATCTTCCAAAGCCCATTCGACCGAATTGATTGAGGACAGTGATCTGAATCAAATCACTGCCCCTATACCTCCCTGTTTGCACAGGCTTATTGTAGAAGGAGTTAACCCATGGGACTTGCGAGTTGCCTCTTCTGTCCAAGTCATTAGTTCTGAAAATAGCCTCATGGGAGAGGAATCAGTACCCATAACACTTTCTCCTACACTACTTCATCCAAAGCAGGGGTCTGTTGTTCAGGTCAGGAAAAGCAGATGTGGAAGCAGTGGGATCTTTTTGATGCTTATATACAAGTTGAGGACAGAAACAATGGGAACTCAGGATTTCCCTGAATACTGCTAGGGAAGAATTAACTTCAGGAACTTCCCATGTCAGAAATAAAGGCAGAGTTTTATCTGAGAAACCTGGGGACCAGTTTAGCTATGGTTTGAGGTACAGAGGATATTAAGAAGTGGAGAAAAATTACTCTAAAGACCAAGCAGGCTCTTTAGTTCATTTAGCCTCAAAAGAGTGTGTCACAATTGAAATTTTAAGTGATTCAAGATGAGCTATTCATGATTTGACATTTTAAAATAATCTAACTTTTAGAACAATAGAATGAAGACTATTACTGTGTATCTGTATAACTTAAACTAGATATCCTTAACTTCAATAAAATGGCCTTATATTAAAGCTGTACAATAAAAATATAATATGGCAGCCCTGTAAAATCCTTGTTGTTCAATAAATATTGTTATCTAGAAATAGAAGATGACTGTCTTTCTTTTGTCTCTTTCAGGTTCTAATCATGCTGGTGTGGCCATAGCATTTGCTCTCTTCATAATCATAATCATAATCGCTGGGTTAGTTTGGTATCTCCATAAAAAGAAACGGCTTCAATGGGGTGGCTTCTCTGCAGTACATTATCAAAGGGGGATGAATGAAGAAGAAACTGATAACATGTTTGCTAAAGATGGTTAATGAGAATCTAATCTTGCTAGCTGTTTTATTTACAAATTTCACTATGTGAAGCTATGGGGAAACCAGCCACTATATATTTTACTAGTTCTTTCCAAAAACAGAATAAAAAGTTTATTACCTAGAGGTGATGTGTTCTACCTTCTGATATACCCTAATTACCTGAATCCAAGACAAGATTTTTTCCTCATTTAACAGGGGGAGGGTGTCAGGCCTGGAGTCAGAGCTGCAACACCTGCCCATCCTTGCCGTCCATCACCTCCAGCTCCAGTCCTCTCTAGTGAGGCAGCAGTGGGGGAAGCAGGTACTAGACCACACAGGCATCAGGAGGGGCAAGTAGGAGGGACAAGTGAGGACAGGTGGCAGAGCGCAATGTGTGGGGAGACAAGGGGTAGGGATCGGGTTGCTTGACTCTCCTCCTGCCCTACTACTGCCTCCCTCATCACTTGCTGCCCCATCACCTGCCCCCCCAGCTACAGCAGTGGGGGAACAAATTTAAGACAGCCCTCCAATAATTCGATTCTATACATGGAAAATGTATAACACACTTATAAATTTTCCATATGTAGAACTTAAGTTCTGGGGGGGTCATCTTAATTTCAGAATCATCTTGCATGTGGGTAAATATAGTAAGCATGCAGCTTTCATTCACATTACAGGTAGCTATCTGAATTTGGATTGTCAGTAAATTTTATTTAAGGCACAAGTTCCCTGAGCCTCTCTAGGTCAGTGCACCAGATTAGTTTTGGATACTGCCTCCTAATTTTTTTTTTCTTACAGTACTAGCCTTCCTTTTTCCTTTATTATTAAATATTTTTTCACTTAAAATACTTTAATCAACCATACACTTCACCTTTAAAACACTTTTTAAATTGTGCAGAAGCTATCTAGCTTTGTACAGGCAATTGTTAATTACATCTTGGGTGCCAAAAGACATACCATTCTATGTGTGTATTATATGCTTTGTTGCTCTAGCATTGGATCACCATGAAACAGCTAGCATAATGCATGATAATACTTTGATAACCAGATTCATGGTTTTGGAATAACCATGCCTGTAATGTAGTATCAACTGTTGTATAATACAGAAGGCCTTTAATTAACTGATGCTTAATTACTTAGCTAGAGTCTTAGAATTTGGTACATATGCTCATTTTGGGGCAGGAGGGAAGGAACAAATATAATCACTTTTTTTTCTTCAGAGGTCACCAAAAGCCATCCTGTTAGTCATATTACAATAGTTCAGTAAGTGTTCTTCAGAGCTAGAACTTTAAGTTTGGCTGTCTTCCTTCTTTATAGTATTCTGAGTGGAGGGAAATATCACAAGTTAGAGCGACTATCTTCAAATTAAATAAAATTTTAAAAATAAATACCCATGCCATATTTAAGTCAGAGCCTGTTGTGGGTTCATACATGAATAGTCAGTCATGTCTTCCAAAGATGATAGTGAATGTCAGCACAGCAGGTATTAAGGGCTAAATACAAACATGAGAAAAATTGAAGACGTACATAAACACAGTCTGGTTTTCCAAGAGCAGTAACATGAATGTTGTGTTTTTCTTACTGTGAAAACTGTCCCTTTCAAATGAGATGTTTCAGAATCTGCATAGTACAAGCTGTGAAAAGAAATGATGCAGCTGAAGTGTTTTCTTTGGAAATCAGTTTCCTGGCATAGGGAGCAAGTAGAAAGGAAAAGAAAAATCTTATTTTATGTCATTAGCAAACGTACCTTAAATATACCAAATTCTTTCCTATGTTTATTAAGCTAATATGAAATCAGATCAGTGCACAAGGAAGACCTTGTGTTACAGAGCTAATGTCCCCAGTTTTATGGTGAGGGCATCCATAAGATTGCTAAACAGCAGTGCTGCCAGCCAATTACAGGAGACTTACTGAGTACTTCCTAAGCAAATACTTGCTAATCCTGGACAGTGAGGATGGGGATGGGGCAGGGGAGGGGAGCAGACAAAGTAGGAGAAAATAGAATTAGTGCCATACTCAAGCAGTCCCCCTGTAACTGGAGGAGCAAGGGGAAGTTCATACTTTACTAGGTATGGCTCTTCTGATCATATAATACAAAAAGGTAGAAGTTGCAGTTAGTCTTAATGAATGATAACTGTAAGTCACCTATATTCTAATTAAAGATAGAACTTGGTGCTGGATCATGACATGCTGAGGCACTAAACTACGTCCATCTTAAGAGGCCTCAAACTATGTCTATTTTAAGAGGCACCATACAGTAAAAATAATCCATGAAATCCACAACAATGGATGTTCATGAAATTTTAAGATGAATTATTGTTATTTCTGCACAAGTTTATTAACTCAATATGAATAACTGTGTAGCCATATCTATGGGTATTTTTGCCATATTGGAATGAAAATGTCCAGGTCTTTTTTCTTATTTAGAGGCTCCCCATATTGCAAGGCCCTAAACTGTAGCTTAAGTAATTTAAGCCTAAATCCAGTACTGATACAACTCAATAACAAATAAGGTATTTCCTCTACAATCAGTTTCAGGAATTAAATGAAAATCTCTCTCAGGTAGTGAGTGGGAGGAAATAGACAGCCACTTAAGTTATGTTCCTATATGTTAAAAATACTTGATTAATTTACCAGTAAGTTAAGTTTCATTTTTGTCATGCGTCACCATGTTCTTTCATATGCACGCTAAAAGGGGTATTAGCAAGGAGAGGAGCATTATGTGTGTGTACAGATGCACACATAATACTACATATGCACGTGTGTGTGTATGTGTGTGTACACACATACATAGAGTAGTGCATATTACTATACTGCATGCACACACAGTCCATGTGTTTTGCAACTAGAATAATTATTGGAGGAAAATGTTTTTTAATGTACACTATGATCTTTTAAGTTCAGTCCTATTTACTGTTATGAAGGAGTGTATATAAAAGACCAAATTTATTCCTAATGTAACTCCACTGACATTGGTGCTTGTTACAACAAGGAGTGCATTTGGCCTAATGCACTGGAAATACTACTGTTTTGGTTTGGTTTTTTTTTAAAGACACTGTTGAGTGTAACAGCCAAAAACTGTGACCCATATGTTTGTATTGATGATGCAGCACTTTTTTTGGGGGGTGGGGGGGAAGCTCTTTGCACTATTCTGGTATGCAGATATTTAAAACAATACTGAGAAGTTAGATGCATCTGTTGCAAGGTATCACTTTTTAGCGTCTATTGCAAGAAAGCAAACAAAAATGCAGTGCCTGCCTCCCTTTTTGTATTTAATAACAAATAGACTTAAAACTATTATTAGTCTTATTTAGTTCTTTATTTCTTTGATCGGAGAAATAATATAAGCACTTTGTTTGGGGGGGTTAAAATACTTGGGCACAATTATGAAAAATTAAGAGATGTTCTTGTAACAATTTAAGTAAAACTCAACTGTTCCATTGACTGCAATACTTGGAGAGTAAATTTTATATAAAAACAATTCTTCACTATTTCATTTGGTCTCTGTAAGAGGCTGAATCTGGTTCTTGTCATCATTATTTTAATTAAAATGCCTTGCAGTAGAACAGAGGATTAGGACTCAGCATAGCAAGATATTGTACAAACAGACAAGATGACACAGTCCTTGCTGCTACTATGTATTTAATAAGAAATATTGCCAAACAATAAGTAACAAAATGGGGGAAAAAAAGTTAGGCGGCACAGCTGTGATCCAGAAAAATAGTTAAACTTGAAACATGCATAACTTTAAAAGAACTTAGTTATATATTTGCTTGAGTGCCTTGCTTAATGGGGTCTATAGTAATAGTCTTAGAAAATGTTTTGTTATATTAAAGAAAGCTTTATATTGTTTAGTTTTCTTTTCAAATTAAAGTATTTTTGTACAAATATAAATCAGATAGATATCTGTTAACTACTTCTAGATTTATAAATGTTCATAAACTTTATAAAACTTAATAAAAGTTCATAAACTTTTTTGGATGTGCATCTTCTAAAAGAAAGGGTCTTTTGAATTTTACTACCAGAATAATTTTGGTCTCAAGAGTTTAAAAGAATTCAAATATTTTGTACAAAGTGTTTCATTTGTATATTGTTGTGAATGGCGTAAGTTATTTTGTAAGGTGCGCATCAGATGTATGTTGCAATGTACTCAACTTTGAAAAAAGCACAGCTGTTTTATTAGGGGAGTTAACCCACTCCTTGGATTGAAGTGTATAGTGTGGATAATATACAAACATGCTGTTAATATTTGGAAGAATAAAGTTTATAAAAGTGTCAATATAATTGCTACTGTTTTTGAATTTGTAGGGATAATTAACAGATGCATAGGTGTTTCCTGTAGTACCTAGGAGAGAACTCTGAACCCTGGTTGGGGTCATGGGGCACTAGGGCCAGACCAGTACAAGCTGGGGCCAGGGTGCTCACTAGGAAGTTTTTGACTCGCACTAACAACTTCTGCAATTGAAAGCTGCATTGCTGTGGAGTAGGGGGACAGCTAATATCTTGCCGAGGCCCTTGCCCAGGCTTTTACTACCAGGAGCTAAAAACCTAGAGAAAAGATCTGGTCCATTTACAGCATATATAGTGTGCATTTTTTATATGTAAATTTGGTTCACTGATACCTTGTCTGCTTTTTGTCCATGTCAGGGAGCTGTGTTGGTGTCCACGGGCATTTCCCATAACTAGGAGATGTTGTCAGTCTAGCACTAGGATATTTTCAAGCTGATGTAAAAGAAGACACGTTGTGTTAGAAAACTTAGAATCATCTTCCTTCTCCCACACCTGCTACGAAATCTCTTCTGCCCAAAAGGACCCTGGAAGCTTTTTGGAAGAGCACCATCAGTCCCCCCAGGTGCAGCGCGCGGCGCCCAGAGCGGGTCCGCACCTGCGCAGTAAACTCAGAGCCCCGCCCTGCGGGGCCGGGCTGGAATCCTTGTGCGTGGGGCCGCCCCACCCCCCTGGCGTCCCTCAGCAGGCGCGGCCCAGCCCGCTGGGCAGGCCCCTGGCGTCGGCGGGTCTGAGGAGGTTCCGCGTCGCTTGGTTCCCTGCCCTGGGGCTGGAGCCATGGGCGCCCCTGTCCCCGCACACCCGCAGCTGCCCGGCCGCCGTCTCCTGCTGCTGCTGCTGCTCGCCGCCCCGCTCCCCGCCGCGGCGGGTAAGGACCCCCGCTCCCCCCGCGAGTACACACACACGGGGCGGGTGCTGGCCACTGGCAGGCGGCCGGGCCGCGAGCAACAGGGGGCAGAGCGGCCTGCGCGTGACCAGGCCCCCATGCGCAGGGCGGGACCAGGCGACGGGATCCGCCTCTAGAGCCCCTCGCTGCCTGCCCCCGCCCGCGGGCAGCTGGACCCCGCTGGTGTCCTCACTACCCGGGTGCTGAGGGCCCGTCTCCTCACAGGTCTTCGTTTTCCTCAGGAGCTGGTCTTTTGTATGTCTGCCCTGCTCTGCAGGCTGTTTTTAACCCCAGCTAAAAGCATGAGCTCAGGCGTGGAGATACCAACTGGGCTGGGACCAGCCCTCAAATACCTGTGGGAGGGGGTGGGAATTGGGCAGCTTGAGGCAGTGGTGGTATTAATGGCCACTGCTTCCTGACTGCTACATTTCCCACCTGTGGGGAGCCCCAGGGGCCAGATGCCCCAGCTCCAGGGCTGTGCTTGGCTCATTAACCTGACATCAGGCACCCTTATGCCTGCAACCTGTTTGAATTAATGCTTTGCTGTCTTGGATTAGAGTCAGGGAGAAGCAGGGCTGAAAGAGACCTCCTGAGGTCATCTAGCGAGTCCAACCCCTCTCCCCGAGGCAGGGTCATCCTTATCCAAACCATCCCAAACAACCATAACCTAAACTCTACGTAAGAGTACCCTCAACACAGGCACAACACAGACCTAACACTCTACCTGCACAGATAAAGCATAGGAACCATGGCAGCAAATGTCTGCTTCTATAAAAGATTGTTACTACAGTATATACTCCGGAGGTCCTGGGTAGAGGGCCACACACCTGGCTACAGAAGAACACAAAACCTCCCACAGTCCTTTCTAGTCTGACCATGACGTAAAATCCCTTCCTGACCACAAATATAGCGATTGGTCTGACCCTGAGTGCAGGGGCAAGACCCCCCAGCCAGGGACCTCTGGCTTTGCTCGTAGCAAGAGAATTGACACATTGCAGTTTAAGCCCCCAGTTTTAGCTGTAGCCAGAGATGACCTGAGCAGGGTGCGGGGCCTGGGGCAAATCAGCCTGTGCGGGGCTCCACCCTCTGGACACAAGGAAGGAAGCTGGCAGCAGATGCAGGGGGGCCGGTGCTGAGTAACTGGATGTGAAGCCGGAGGCAGTGCTGAGTCACTGTGCCATTCCCCCTGGCTTTGTGGGGCCCCCCAAAGGTGGGTGGTCACCCTGATTCACCCCCCCTGGGGACAGCCCTAGCTGTAACCAACACCCAATGCCTTTGGGATGATTTAAAAACACCTGGGCACATTCAGCAGAAAAGAGGGGGGCGGTGGGAGTGGGAGAAACCAGAAAATCCCAGAAGCACATGAAATACCCATGGTAGAAAATAAGCATATCTATGCCTGTATCCACAACCAATGACTGTCCAACTTCTTGAACACTGCCAATGATGGATAGTCCACAACTTCCCTAGGCAGGCTATACTACTGCCTTGCTATTCTCACAGTAAAGTTTTTCCAGATAGCCAATTTAAATTTACTTTGCTGCAACTTCAAGCCATTGGTCCGCATCCTTTTCTCTCAAGCAAGAGAGAAAAGGTGCTTTTTCTCTTCTTTATGGCAGCCCTTCATGTATTTGAAGACTTCTATCATGTCCCCTCTTAAGCACCTTTTCTACAAGCTGAACATGCCTAGCTCCTTCAATCTCCCATCATATGACTTGCTTTCCAAGCACTTGATCATTGTCGTTGCCTGCCTCTGGGCACTCTCTAACTTCTCCATGTCCTTTTCAAAATGTGAAACCCAGCACTGCACACTGGTACTCCAGATGAAGCCTAACCAGTCCTGAATAGGGAGGCACTATCACTTCCCATGAAAATTCAACTTAAGAGGCCATTTCAACCCAGTGGGGAAATGGCTGGGCTGTGCCAGTCCTACTGGGGGTCACAGACCCTCATGCCAAGCCAGGTGACTCGTAGCCTAAAGGACAGGATTAGCTAAGAAATGCCCAGCAAGAAGGGCCAAAGGATGGTAGGATCCTGCACCTGTACTGGAAACCCCTTCCTTCCTGCACTGGGAATCCTGGAAATCAGACCTCCAACCTCACAGAGCATAATTAGTTGACATTAAAAATTACTTTAAAGAAAAAAGGCTTTAATTTGCTTGGGTCAGGAGGAGAACCCAACATATTTCTTCAGATCATAGAATCATAGAAAATTAGGGTTAGAAGAGACTTCAAGAGGGCATCTAGTCTGACTGCCTGCTCAAAGCAGGACCACCCCCAACTAGATCATTTCAGCCAGGGCTTTGTCGAGCTGGGCCTTAAAAACCTCCAAGGATGAAGATTCCACCATCTCTCTAGGTAACCCATTCCAGTGCTTCACCACATTCCCAGTGAGAATTGTTTTCCTCATACCCAACCTAAACTTCCCATGCTGCAACTTGAGACCATTGTTCCTTGTTCTGTCATCTGTCACCACTAAGAACAGTAGCTCCATCCTCTTTGGAACCATCCTTCAGGTAGTTAAAGGCTGCTCTTAAACTCCCTCAGTTTTCTCTTTTTCACACTAGACAAGCCCAGTTCTGCAAGGCTCTCCTCAGAAGTAATATGACCCAACCCCCTCACCATTTTTGTTGTCTTCTGCTGGACTCTCTCCAACTTGTCCATGTCCTTTCTCTAGTGGGGCGCCCAAAACTGGGCACCGTACTCCAGATGTGACCTCACCAGTGCAGAATAGAGGCAAATAATTACTTTGATATGATGCCAGTGCTCCTACTAATACATCCCAGTCTGCTGTTGGCCTTTTTTGGTAACAGAGGCACCCTGTTGACTCATATTCAGCTTATTGTCCACTGTAACCCCCAGATCCCTTTCTGCAGAGCTGCTGCTTAGCCAGTCAGCCCCCAGCCTGTAGTGGTGCATGGGATTGTTCTGTCCTAAGTGCAGGACTTTGTACTTGTCCTTGTTGAAGCCTGTAATATTTGTTTTGGCCCAATCCTCCAATTTGTCTAGGTCATTCTGAATCCTAACCCCACCCTCCACTGTATCTGCTAGTCCCCCCAGCTTGGTGTCATTTACAGATTTGCTGAGGGTGCACTCCATCACATCTTCCAGAATGTTCATGAAGATATTGATTAAAACTGACCCCTGGGACACTCCACTTGATACTGGCTGCCAGTTAGATCTTGAGCCATTGTTCACTACCTGTTGAGCCTGACAATCCAGTCAGCTGTCTGTCAACCTTATAGTCCATTCATCCAACCCATACTTCCTTAGCTTGCTTGCAAGAATGCTGTAGGAGACTGTATCAAAAGCCTTGCTAAAGTCAAGGTATATCACGTCCACTGCTTTCCCCACACCCACAGATCCAGTTATCTCATGGAAGGCAATCAGGTTGGTCAGGCATGACTTGCCCTTGGTGAATCCATGCTGACTGTTTCTAATCACTACCTTCTCCAAGCGCCTTGAAATGGATTCCTTGAGGACCCGCTCCATGATTTTTCTAGGGACTGAGGTGCGGCTGGTCTGTAGTTCCCTGGATCCTCCTCCTTCCCTTTCTTAAAGATGAGCACTGTATTTGCCCTTTTCCAGTTGTCTGGGACCTCCTCCAGGCCCCACATGTTTTCAAAGATAATGGCCAGCGGCTCTTCAATCACATCAGCCATCTCCCTCAGCACCCTCAGATGCATTGTATGTGGCCCCATAGTCTTGTACATGTCTAGCTTTTCTAAATAGTCCCTAACCTGTTCCTTCACCGCTGAGGACTGCTGACCTCTCCAGACTGTGCTGCCTTGTGCAGTAGTCTGGGAGTTGACCTTGCCTGTGAAGACTGAGGCAAAAAAGGCATTGAGTACTTTAGCTTTTTCCTCCTCATCTGTCACTAGATTGCCTCCCTCATTCAGTAAGGGACCCATACTTTCCCTGACCTTGTTGCTAACATACTTGTAGAAACTCTTCTTGTTACTCTTCATGTCCCTTGCTGTCTGGAACTCCAGTTGTGCTGTGGCCTTCCTGATTTCATCCCCGCATGCCTGAGCAATACTGTTATACTCTTTCCTAGTCATCTGTCCAAACTTCCATTTCTTGTAAGCTTCCTTTTTTGTATCTAAACTGACTGAAGAGTTCTCTGCTAAGCCAAACTGGTCCCCTGC